TCTCTCTCTCTCTCTCTCTCTCTCTCTCTCTCTCTCTCTCTCTCTGTGTGTGTGTGTGTGTGTGTGTGTGTGTGTGTAATGGCTGTTGAGCTTATAGCCTCTTATTAATGGAGCAGATAATACAGACAGACCAGCAGAGCTGGCAACCTCTCACTCAATATGGCACCCATCTTTGAATCATGTCTGGCTGTATAAAGCAATTTTAATAATAAGCCAAACTATGTGATGTCTTCAATATCTCATTATAGTATATGAAAAGTAAGACAACATTTTTTTAAGGTTAGCTAGTGTTAAACAAAGCAATCACACATTTACTATTAGATTAGTGTGTGAATTTTATTATATTTAACTACATAGTTTTTTATTAGTTCATTTGTTTATCTGTTTATTGTTTCTTTGAATATTATTGATTTTGATTTGAAAAAAATAATATTAATGCTTGGTGGTTACATTTTTGTTTATTTTAATTTGGCCAATCTTCTGTAATCTTTAAATATAGAATAAATATTAAAGCACATTTTTAAAAAAGATGTACGTTCTTTTTGTAGCAGAGATTTTAGGTTGAAGAGGTCTCAGGTATTTGGTGTAGGAGGAAAGTTTCATCAGACATTCATGAAGAAGCAGGCAGACATTATCAATCGCTGCTCACCCTGGTTAATATGTTAGTCTGTGGGTGTAGACTCCATTCTGATCACAGCTTAAATTTGCATCTCTAAGAAAATAAGTAAATAAATCAAGTGCAAGCAGTAAATGTGCTAATCAACCGGGACATGGCAGTGAGCTGGTGCCGGGAAACTTTACTCATGTAATATTCAGCACTGGTGGGTTAAAGGGCAGCCCAGAGTTATTGGCTTCAGCCCGATTGCCCCCTTTAATCAATGTTGGCTGCATCCCTTTAATAAAATTATTAGCTCAGCAGTATCTTGCGCTATCATTTTATCTCTTCTGCACTCTAAATTGCAGCCTGTGTTGGGCCTCTCAGATGCTTGGGGCATGGTCAGCTCCCGAAAGCTCAGCTCCCATTTATTATTTCAGAGGCAGATGATGACTAGAGTGTTTGAAAGTAGGCTAAGCGTAGAGGTTATTGGATGCAAAGATCTAAACACAGCTGCGATGAAGTCCCATCCCAGCTTATATATTTTYGGCTCTTAGAAAATGCTGCTTTTTATTGCTCATCTTAGGGTTCAGACATATTCATCTCAATATTGCAAACGTGAAATATTTTTCTGAGATGAGTTCAATTTAAGTTTGAGTAATAACAGTAAAACTGTTCAAGGATATTTTCTAACAACACATTTTCACTTCTTCTAGTTATGTAAATGTGTGATGTGCTGATGGGTGGCTTCTCGATATCTAATTATCTCGCAAGGAATATATTTGATCTGTTTAGTTAGTCTGACTACAAGTTAATTAAAAAACGGATGTAGGATTTGCACAATATAAGATTAAGGGTGTTGTTTGGAAGGTGAAGATGAAAGATGGTACTTTTGTGATATGGCGGGAAGATGAATCATGGACAGCTTATTAGTGCTTGTCTCAGGTATTGTGTTTAAGTGCCTAATCTAGTGTAATGAGCATGGTGTCATTTTTCCAATTATATCTCAAAGTTTTTTCTCTCATCAAGTGCATCATACATTTGATTTTCTGTTTTGAGGGTTTTATACACCCAAGTACATTTATAATTTAAATGTTTGTTTTTTTTATTTTCACAGTAGAAAGTAATATTTTGAAGGTATAGGCATTTGTTACCAACTTTGACTAACTTTGGTTTATAATGAGTTGTGCATGTGCTCATGTGCAGTAATTACAAAACAGTAATCTCTTTTATGTATCTTTGCAGGCCTGGATGCGATGAATGCCTCATGTAGGCATCAGCATGGACAGCTGTGAGTCTCCCGTGGTTTCTGGGACAGAGGATGGGCTCAGCTCCTCCCAGCAGCAACAAGCACCACCATCCTGGAAAGATCACTCAAGCTCACAGGTTACTTGCACCAACCAGGCCCCATCCCTGGATGCCCTGTCTCTCTCCGCTTCTTACCTATCTCAACCCCAAAACTCCATTGCACCTCATGACGGGGTGAGAGAACTGCAGTCCCAGCAGGAGCAGTCAAAGCTGACATTACCCCAGGCTCACAGAAATAGCTCTCCCTTAGGCCAGCTGCATCCCAGAAGAGAGGCGCTCGACGAAGTGGAGCAGGAGGGAGTGAGCTGTGGAGAAGAGGACGAATCTGAGGACTTGGATGAAATGGAAATAGATAGCTGTTTCCCAAGTCTTCAGCCCTTTCCTGGGGTGCCAATAGCATCAGGTGGAGGAGGCATGCCCACTCTTCTGCGACACCAACCCACACAACAGCAGGRACCACCTGAGAGTGGGAGTGAGGAAGGAGAGGAGGAAGAGGARGAAGAGAGCAGTGACGTGGAAAACCTGGCTGGAGAGATTGTCTATCAGCCAGATGGCTCAGCCTACATTGTGGAGAGCCTCAGTCAGTTGATCCAAAGTAGTGGAGGTATGGTACCCGGCCTGCTTCCTACAAATACTCTCACAAGTGGGAGTAAATCGGGAGAGCCTGCTGGGACGTCATCCTCAGTATACCCACAGATCATCAACACTTTCCACATAGCCTCGTCTTTTGGGAAGTGGTTTGGTAATTCAGACCAAGATTTTCCCAATACCTCAACAATGGCAGGCCTCAGCCCTGTCCTGCACAGTTTTCGTGTCTTCGATGTGCGGCACAAAAGCAACAAGGATTACCTGAACAGCGATGGGTCTGCCAAGAAGTCCTGTGTATCCAAAGATGTTCCCAACAATGTGGATTTTTCCAAATTTGATGGGCTAGCTCTATATGGCAAGGGTAAACCCATTCTAATGTGTTTTCTCTGCAAGTTGTCCTTTGGCTATGCTCGTTCTTTTGCCACTCATGCCGTCCATGATCACCGCATGACACTGTGTGAGGACGAACGGCAGCTATTAGGAGACAAGCATGCCTCTGCTATCATCCAGGGCATTGGGAAGGACAAAGAACCTCTTATTAGTTTCCTGGAACCAAAAAATAAGAGCAGTCCTCTGCCACCTACTCTGCTCCCTATGAACTCTGGGCAGAGTTTCTACGGCACATTTAGTGGTGTCCATCTTGAGCCTGGAAGCAGTAGTGGGGGCAGTGAGACCCTCCTGAACAAAGACTCAGACTCTGGCCTCCAGCAACAACAACAGCAACAAACCCCACTTGGCTCAGTCCTCTCTTTAGGTGGGCTGAATTTTTCCAAAGCGTCCACTCTCACCTCATCCTCAGGCTCTGCCAAAGACTCCAGTGCCCTGCCCAAACAGGGAGGGAGAACAGAGGAGCCTGCAGGGAAAAAGTTGTCATGCAAGGGAGAAGATGGGAGCACGGAGGGACATGAAAGCAATGCTCAACTATCCAACCGGTTGGGGGGCTCAGAAGAAGAGGAGGAACTGTTATTAGGGGAAGAAGAAGACGAGGTAGAGGCAGAAAGCACCACAGTGGCCTGTGGTGGTACAAGTAGCAGCGATGGGTGTGAGGTGGGGGAACCAGCTGTCTCAAACCAAAGCAATTCCAAATCTCCTTTATTAATGCCTAGTAGCACTCTCCAGCCTTCTGCCTGCTCTTCTGCAGTCAGTTCCACACTCAACAGCAAAGCCCTTGCTTCCATTTCCTCCTCTGTCAAGGAAGAGGGTTTAGCTGCAGATGGTGGAGGGAGGACCTCAGAGCTCCCTCTGAGCTTTAACTGCCAGGGACCAACTGTTCCCATGGCAATTGCGGCAGCTGCCGTCAGAAGGAGCGAGGACGACACTGCCGGCACTTCCTCCTCGCCTCTGTCCACCAACGCTGCTGCTGATGAAAGTGCCAATCGAGATAGTGCCACAGCTCCAGAACCAAATGATTCCCCAGCAGAAGGAGAGGAGGAAAATGGAGCCCTTCTGCATCATCACCACATGCACCACCATCATCATCATCTCCACCCGTCATCTCACGGTCACTCCCTCCCTCTCCAAGGGGGCTCCTGTGACATCACAGGGATGGGTGAGTGTTCACAAAACCATGGCTCTGGTGGGAGTGGAGGAAGTGGGGTTGAGTGCCCTAAATGTGATACAGTTTTGGGTTCCTCACGCTCCTTAGGTGGTCACATGACCATGATGCATTCACGCAATTCATGCAAGACATTAAAGTGTCCCAAATGCAATTGGCATTATAAGTACCAGCAGACATTAGAGGCTCATATGAAAGAGAAACACCCAGACTCTGGAGGCTCCTGTGTTTACTGCAGCAGTGGTCAGAGTCATCCTCGTCTGGCTCGTGGAGAAAGCTATACCTGCGGTTACAAGCCCTTCCGGTGTGAGGTATGTAGCCGATAAATGTGGCTTTGCTCAATTTTTGAAGTGTTGTAAAGATGTTTTGCATGTATATAACTAAAATAGCATTTTGTGTCCCATAAATTTGTTGCAGTTTTAAAAAAAATGTTTTTTTCAGGTGTGTAACTATTCTACAACGACGAAGGGCAACCTAAGTATCCACATGCAATCGGATAAACACCTAAACAACATGCAGACACTGCAAAACGGAGGCTCTATTGGCTCTGCACAGGAGCAGGTCTTTGGACATACCCCGGGGGGAGTGGTGGCTGTGCCCTCAGTGACCCAAGCCAGTAGCCATCACACTCCCCACCACCATCCAACACAGGCCTCCCCCCACATGTCTGTTCCATGTGGARCACCCTCACCAACCAAGCCGAAAAGCAAACCTACTTGGCGGTGTGAGGTTTGTGACTATGAGACAAATGTGGCACGGAATCTACGCATACACATGACCAGTGAGAAGCACATGCACAACATGATGCTCCTCCAGCAGAACGTGACTCAGATGCAACATGGACGACTTGGCTTGGGAGCCATGCCATCACCATCTGAAGCTGAGCTTTATCAATATTATTTGACGCAGAATTTGAGCCTTCCACCAGGCCTCAAGATAGACCCATCTGGACCTGAGGCCCAGTTTTTAATGGGGAGCTTTCACCTAGATCCAAGCATGGCCGCCTTGGCCCCTGCAACTGGTAAGCAACTCTCTTGATTTTGAAGTATCCCCAAGTTTAAAACAGTAACAAATGAACAAGTGGTGACCTACGAATTCATACATTGCCTTCCTCCACTTTTTACCATTATGACTGCTGAATTTCAACAGTTCTCTATTTTTTCACACTTAGCTAATGCAACTGAAATGTTTTAATGATCAAATAATAAATGTGTACCACCATTGTAAGCATTGCCAGATATTTTAGKAACTAGTTACAACTTCACACTTTGTACAGACTTGTCTTCCAACTGTCTCCTGTTAGAAGACATAAATACAAATTTATTGGTGTGAGTAACTCTTTTACTCTCTTGTGCAATTTTGTTTATTTTGTGAGGTGAGTTGCAATAAACTTGCTTAAAGGAAGACAATGATTACACAGTCTTGACTCGTAAAATGCAGTGGCATTATCCATGGTAACAATAAAAAATGTTTAAAACTGTCATAAACAAACAATCTGCAAACACTTTGATATTGTTTGTACAATGTCATGTGTAAGGCCCTGTAAATGTTGGCAGAATATCATTTCAAAGATATCTCAGACAAAACAGCAAAGTGACAGTTTCACTTTTGTTATCTCTTATCTTTTGTTATCTCTATGTATTGCTAAAGACTTTAAAAAATGTTTAAAACCTACTAATCCTCAGTCCCAGGGCTCAGCTGCTGCAGTGAAAGGTCGAACTGAGATGATGACCAAGAGAATTAGAGAGAGGCACTGGGAGGGTGAAGGTATTTTTAGTTACTTGTGCTGTAATATTTTTTTATCTCTCAATATATATTTTTATCTTTCCTCTGTGCTGTAGTACAACAGCACGACAAAACAGTTGTTGAGTTAAAACTGCTTTTTTAAGCAATTATAAAAAAGGTAATTTCTAAACGTACTATACATATACTGTGTGTGTGTGTGTGTGTG